GAATTTCTTCCTTATTCTCTCTAAATTGAAGGACGTCACCACTGAGAGAACAAAGTAGCGAGTATGCCACATCCACTCAACCCCAAAGGAGGTTCACTCTTGAAACAGAGCAGAAAAAGGGGCAGACATAGTGGACTCAGGTGAAAAAGAGAAGATAATGAGATATAAGCGTTATGCCCTCAAGAATAACAAAGGGATACCGGAGGAAGTGATAGCCAGTACTTATAGAAATCCTTTGAAGACCCCAGATTTTTAGGAAGTTGTTAATTACACGAAACCTTAAGTCGATGGGTCTCTAGGTTTCCAAATTAAGGAAGCAGTAACCTTTTTGGTAGGAAGGATATGCATTGAAAGCAAAACATCAACGACACCCCGGGATAAAACAAGCAGACCTCCAAAGAGGGGTCCAGAGCATAAAAGAAAGGTAAAAACAAAACCTTACACATCGGGAGGTCAACAAGTCAAAAATGAGGAAATCAATGCACTCAAGCAGCTGCATCTAGGCATGCTCTTCCAGGTTGTCACCTTGCGTGTGGTCCATGGCAGTCTAGGACCTCGGCACATCGGAACCACTAGACAGAGCATGATTGCAAGCACTTCACTTCACCTAATCAGATCTGTTGAACTCACGAGCAGAAAAGAGAATCTGACCAATGACTATACGTGCACATGACTCCTAAGGTTTACCAAATGGTCCCCTCAAGCCAGTTCAGAGGTTATTTAGCCCTGGAGCAAGTCAGCTATACAAGTCAGCAAAAGCTCCTTAAGGGTCAGCTATGCAGGTAAGCAAATGGAAGCTCCTTAAGGGTCAGCTACACAGGTCAGCAAATGGAAGCTCCTTAAGGGTAAGACTTCAGGTACTCATTGTCTTATATTTCAAACAGCTAAAAATTACACCCCTACTGTGTATGCTAAACTGGTCATGCAAATTTTCCATCCATTTGCTAAGAGAGGGAAAGGGTTGAGAAGATTGTATTACATAGTAGAAGTTACATAATTGCATTCTAGTTTAAAATTGTCACAACTATGAGTTGATAAGTTTAAAAAACTAGCTTCATATCCTAAATCTTTGAGGATGAAGTAAGGCCAGAGCTCTGGTGGTCAATTGCTAGAGTTCGGACAAAAGCAGGTTGAGAAGCTGGAAGCTTAGCTAGGCACATCAGCAATTATTCATAACCTTTTTACTTCAAGGAGATCTGAATGACCCCTTGAAGCAAAGGGGGCAAAGAGTTGAGGAATATCATATTCGATTGATGGTAGAGTAAAGCAACAAATAGCAGCCAAAGAACAAAATTGGAGGAGAAGAGCAAAGCAAGACTTCAAGTCGAACCCAGAAAGCACAATTTTGAGCAAAGAATAAGAGAATCGCGTGGAAGAAAACCCAGAAATCAAAGAGAGAAAGAGCCGGAGACAAAGGTGAACAGCGTAGAAGATGAACAAGGAGTTTTGAGCGATTTTTTGAGTAGCCGATTGAGCATTTAAAGCTTGAGTGACGTGGGCTGAAACATGTGCGGGAATCGAGAAAGCCATGATTGCTGTAAACAGTCAAAGAGCCCCCCCCCCCCATGTGCATCTCACATGCGGACTAAGGTCAGCTAGATGTAGGCCTGTTCCAATGCAAAAACAGCTCAGCCCATGCCCAAGCTCGCTTGGGCCAAGGGCTGGGGGGCAACTGATGATGCCTAAAGTAAATCCCAAATGTTAGCTCAGGAGTTCAGCTCAGACTAGGAGGTTAGCCATATTAACTGAGGTCAGAAGAGAAGTGCTGAATGTCTCTTGAAGCAAGGCAATGGCTGGAAAACCACGAGAGGTTCCTAAAGAGCTAAGAAGCTATAATCAAGGCACCTAATCTCGACCAACCTGGATGTTCTCCTAGAATTAAGGAAAATCCCACGAAATAAGGGAAAGAATTTCGGTCAAGATCCCACTGAATAAGGAACATCCCTATAAATATTATGTAACGCCCCCAAGGAGGGGAGAGGATCCTAGAGGCAAAAATTAGTCATTGTACTCTTACAATCATCATTATTGAAAGACAAGGAGCAAGAGTCTCCAATAAAGAGTGGATTAGCCGAGCTCCCGAGTTGGTGAACTACTATACTTCTTCTATGTTAATCCTCCCAGCCCCTAGAAAAATATTTATTTCATTATCACAACATCATCACTGCAAAACATAATTACGATTCATTACTCATACAATTCGGTTTACACCGTCAAAATCTATTTTACATTTTCCTAGAGAAAATTTATTGTACAGGTTATATGTGACAACTCAAGAAACCAAAAAAAAAAAAACAAGGTTAAAATTAAGGAATCTAATATGATAAATTAAATATTTGACACAAATCCAGCAAAAAATGAACACGAGACAACTATCACTCCTAATTACAATAAGGGTGGAACTATTCTCAATTCTTAAATCTCTTTTTCCACCCCCATTTAATATTCTTACTTCAAACTATTACATTCATCCAATCTATACCCACCCTATTAGTAATTAAGTTCACCCTATTCATACCAATTCAATTAAACTATTAAATATATGTGAAAGAAATCAAAACAAAAATATTAATAAACTAAAATTTCAATGTTTCAAGGTGATCTATATTATTTTAACATACTTTGAAATATCTTGATATATTTTTACCAATGTCTTTGAAATATTTTGAGGTGTTTTAAGATATTTTATTATATTTTGACTAATATTTTAAAAATAATTATTAATTTTTATTCTGTTTCTGAAATATTTCCGTACTAAAATAATACATCGAAACAAAATTATCTATATAGTAAGTTGAAATGAAATTGAATAAATTTAGTTTTTAATTAGTGAGATATGGTGAACTTTGTAGTTTGAAATAAGATAATTAATGAGGTGATAAAAGAGATTTAAGGGGAATAAATAGTCTCACCCTTAAAATAAACATTAGTATAAAAAATATACCTCAAATCCATTTTAATTGGTTTTCTAAACTTTGGCACATTTCAACCCAAAATTAGGAGATAAATAATGACAAAATCATTAATGCAAGGATCATGCTCGTCAATTAAAAGATTTATGAAGCGATCTCTGAAGTCTTACGCTAAAAAGAACTAACTAGATTTTGTTATCATACTCCTCTTTTCTTCTTTTTTTTTTCTTTTTTTCTCACCTGCTCGAGACGTTCGGGATTGTTTATGTGCATCTCAACTAATTTTTTTTCGATCTAGTCAAAGGCTGGTTATCTACGTCAAGACTAGAGTATTCATGAGGAATATATAAATTTCTCATAGTCAAACTTCAAGTGGTTGACAAAATTTGAACTCAGAATATCTAAATTTATAGTTCATTCATATTATCACTTGAGCTAACTTGGGATTATTTTGTTATCATACTCGATCAAACCTATCACTAACTTTGTTTTTTTTTTTTAACAATTGGTCAAAGATATTCAGGTCAACTTATGCACAGTTCGATTAATCTTTTTTTCGGTTAGGTCAAAAATATGCCATCCACGTCGGGACTAGGGTATTCATGAGAGATAAATCTTTTATGGTCTGGTACCAATAGATTGTCAAGTTTTGAACTCAGGACGTTTAAGTTTACGGCTCGTCCTTATTACCACTTAAACTACTATTAGAATTGGCGATCACTAACTTTGAAGTTCGAAAGACTCGACCTAATGAAAATATTAGGGTTATTAGTATTTTTAACCTTTAAAATTTTCATCTTTCGTCAGTTTAGTCCCCATTATATCAATTTGGTGTTTAGAGTATTTAATTCGTGTTATTTTTTATCTCTATATAGATTGACCGTTAAATTTTTGAAGTAATAATTATATGTTGGGCATATGATACCATCTAAAAAAATGACACGTGATCACTTCTATCAAAAAACTTGACAGATTATTTAATTAAGGACTAAAGTGACACGAATTGAATATTATAAGGATAAAATAAGCAAAATTGATATAATAAAAATAAAACTGACAAAAAATATTACTATAAAAAATTAAACATGTGAAAACAGTTGCGTTTAAAAGAGGAAATCTTGGGGTGAACAAAAAAGGAATAAGAATTGAAGTATATTGAACATGTGGGAAACAAATATTCTTTTCTTTAACACCGTAAAATGTCAAAGAGACCCCACTGGAGTTCGTGAGTTTTTGGTTTGGACACGCGATTCCTGACGTAACTTCAAAATTAATAATCAAATCCAACAAAGCTAATCAGCTTAATGCCTAAATAATGGCTCGTGGAACCGTACTAATTAATTATTTTTCAATATCAAATTTAATATAAAACATAAATATACCCCTTCCTATTTTATGATAATGAGTATTAGGAAATTAAAAAAGAATCACATTTAAAAATTGAGTGTGACAAAAATAAAAATATTAAGATGGATATGTGATAAAAAATTTAAAAAAATATATATAGAATTAGAAATGATTATATTCATAAAAGAGTAGAGGTAAATTTTGAAAAAAAAAATTGATCTAAATAATTTGGACAAATTTATAGATGACCTATTATGGTATCGAAGAAAAATAATGATTAGATAGCTATTAATAGTAAGAAAAATGATTGAATAAGAACAAAAGTAATTTTAAGTGAAATAATAAATAAGGATATGAGAACTTATGATTTAACAGAAAGTAAATGTTTAAATAAAACTTATTGGGGAGATAAAATTTACGTAATGGGCCTCAAAAATATTGGAACAATGTTTTATTGAGTTGAGTTGAATTAATATAAAATAAAAGAGGTTAAACAAATGAAGTGCTATAACAAAATGAAATTATTTCACGTGGATATTAATATTTAAGGATTGATTTTAACTTTTTTTTGTTAGAACTTAATCTTATTAATTATAACTTAGTTGAATAAAATATAACTAGTCCTTATTAATTTACACCTAACTTCTGGCACGTTACCTTCTTCGCTGCTATATTCTTACCACCATGCATGTCTATATAAATGTTTGCCATAGTTGAGTTTGTATGATATCAAAATCTCAACTAGCCAGCTTCTTCCTTTGCTTCTAGATCATGACTCCCGATGATCAAATGCCTTCAATTGACCCATTAAGCGAAAAACTTCTTCTTCTTGACGAAAAACTTCTTCTTCTTGACCCAGAAAAAGCGACAGTTTCAGACTTCCTGAGCATCTTGTTTTCTGAAGCAATAGAAGGCAGAGACTTTATGAAGGATACAAAAGCGACAGTGGCCATTCTCGAGCGCAGAGGGCCCATCTTTCTCTCCTTGGCGGGGCAGATGTTTCTGCAAAGAGTAGCACCAGGCCTCATATCATGGCTAGGATCAAAATTGGGCATGTCCGGTAATATCTCGGTGTGCTTTTAGTAAACTTACCGTTTTCTTACCATTGGTTTGCATTTCGGTCTGCAAAACGACTTGATTAATTGAGGGTCGGTTCCGGATTCGTTTAAGTCCATTCATTTGTGAAATGAACCGAGTTTGAAACAGTGTTTTTCTTTTGCTCGCCAAACTTGTGACAATTGAGTTTATATATTCGGTTTATAGATATACCTACACGTGAATTGTGCCTTCTACGAACGAGGGAAGCAATTAATTGTATGGTCACCGCTACAAAGCATCCCGACTATATATACCTTGTATAATATCATGCTATAAATTTTCTCTTTATATAAAGACGGAACCATTGCATATCTAAAAGCAACAAATTCTGGCTTTGGTCTTTTGCAGCTATTCCTTCCATAACTTATTGCTGTAAATTCTCTGTTTATACGAGAAAGCGTAAACAATTGACTCTGAATGCTTGTTTGCAGGGAACATGGAGGTCCCGGAGAAAGAATTAAACATCGATGCGTCGACTATCAAAACCCTACAAAAGAGAAAGTATTTAGACCTGCCCCCTGAAGATGGAAACGATTTTTATGTCATATGCCCAAAGGCTTCCAAATTAGCATATGAGACCAAACCGATCATACAATATGTAGTTGAAAAACGTTGGAAGGTAGGTAGAATCATATACAATGTAGATTTTGCCCCCATTTCAGTAAAATCATCAAATTACAAAAGTACATTCCATTTGACCAAATATTGAACTCATACAAACTAGATATAAATGAGATTTTGTATAGGTTATCGAATATTTTCTAATTATTGTAATTGTTTTTTCGTCTCAGATGAATTTATTGGACGCGAAAGATTTTTGGAATGGTAAGGAAGAACACTATTTTTTTCATAATATAATTCAGACCGGAGTATTTGAGTTTCTGATCATTCAACAGTCCTTATTGGACTTTATCGTCATTTTAGAATAGTTTTTAATTTATTTCCCATTGTCATGTTATTTACGTGAAAATCGTAAACACTAAATATGAAGCTATATATTATATACTAAAATCAGTTTTTACATTAACAAAAATTGATTTTTTTTAAAAAAAAAAATCTTACAAAAAACCTAGTAATTAAAAAATAAGATACATTAAAAATAAGAGTAATATTATTTTGACGTAAAAATTTGAGCTAATTTACTGACCTAAAAATATAATTTTAGTGGAACAATTAAATTAATACCAAGTTCAAATATTTAATAAGACCCACAATAAATCCAAACTCTTAGCAAATTAGGTTATAAGCCTTAATTATCCTTAAACAACTTGCAATGCCTAACTAGCTTAATGTAAGATGATTCTATGCTCTTGGCAGTTTATCAACAGAAGAAAACAACAAAAGCCTTCATGTTTCATGATCCAAATCCCAACCATGATATGATCGTGGTGGCATTCAGAGGCACCGACTTCAATGCATATGCCTGGAGTACCGACATCGATATCTCTTGGTGCAAGCTCGGCAAAGGCAACGGAAAAGTCCATGGTGGTTTTATGAAAGCTTTAGGGTTACAGGAGGGTCAAGCATGGCCGAAAAATGTCAGAAAAGATGATGAACACCCGGTTGCTTACTACACCATCCGACAGAAACTGAGAGATTTCTTTCGGACACATCCTAAAACGAAATTCATTCTGACCGGACACAGTTTGGGTGGCGCACTCGCAATTCTCTTTTCGGCAGTGCTGATATTGCACAAAGAATCGGATATATTGGAGAGGTTGGAGGCAGTGTACACATTTGGGCAGCCTATGGTCGGAAACCAGAAGTTTGTGGAGTTCATGAAAGGAAAGTTTAAACAGTATAGCATAAACTATATTAGGGCTGTAAACTATGATGATTTGGTTCCTAGGCTGCCCTTTCAAGCCTTGGACTATAGGCACTTTGGGAAAATGGTCCTTTATGATACCAACTTTGAGCAAAAGGTGAGTCGTCTTTGTCCTCTTAGATACATAAAATAACTTAAGCCAGTCTGTTTCTTTCTTTCTTATTTTTTCTGGCAATCTTAAAAAGTAGCAAAAGAGATTGAGGAGATGATCAAGAAGTATGTATAATTAATGTATAAGCCTGATCTGCGACTGAGTACTCATGCAGATTATTTGCTGTTTATGATACAGATAGTTCATGAAGACCCAGAGGAAAACTACTTCGCGGTGTTATCATTTATGGAAAGGCAGCTAAAAAATGCAAAGGATGCGGGAAGAAGCTTGATCAATGCCTTCACAAGTGGACCAGAGAACAGAGGACGTTGGCTGCAAAGATCCTGGAGGAATTTCAAACAGTGGCTGTTTCCCGGTGTATCAGCTCATTTAAGCGATAACTACGTAGATAGAGAGATTCCTATTGTTGAGGGTTAAAAACTTGTTGACAAGGGGCAAATAGCGAGCCCACTTTGATCCTGTATCTACTGGTAATAAGTGATATGTACATGTGTGTGGGTGTGGGTGTGGGTGTGGGTGTGGGTGTGTGTGATTTATGTTCAATAAAGTATGTCTACTTGTAATAACACAATGCTGAAGTATTATTTCAAATGTAAATATGGCATTTAAATAAAATTTATTCTTTGCACTTTTATGTGGTATTTGATGTAAAATTTACCCTTTTCCAGAATACAGCTATTCCATGGAGTGGTTGACCATCATTTTCTTTGCACTTAATTGGGATGTCATGAATCTCTTTTGTGACATTTTGCTGTAGTGAATATATTAATGCTAGGCTATCAAATTTTAGAACCAAATCAAAAGTTCAAATGACATGGCATAAAATCTTTATTGGAGCTCAAATGACATGACACCAAATAAAGAAGTCCAAATCAGCCGCCATATCATTTGGGCTCTTGATTTAGTCTCAAAATTTAATCAGTGTAGCATTACTCATAGGGTATTCTTATTATGCAAGTAATTAAAAACAATTAATTTGAGAGAAAAAATTTATTTATTTAATTCAAATGACTAAAAATAATTCATGTCAGAAAGCACAGTATGATACAAAAATATTGAGCATTGATCATTTAATATAAATATTTCAAACAACAATTTATTTTTATTTTTTTCCATTAACTACATAATTTAAAATCAATATGGGTCCACTATTTCCTTAAAAAAAAAAAAATCCGCATAGCCTTTTCTGAAAACAAAACTCGAGTAAAAATCAACTTGTATACACATACTATTAAAAAGCCAGTTTTTTGGTACAAAATTATTTATTATTAAGAAAAAAAACATGTAATTAAAAAACATAACTCGAATCAATTATAAGAAGTTCAGTTTTAACCACAACATACATAATTATACATTTGCAAATACAAATCCAACTAATAATTCTAAATGCACGCAATTCAAATTAACTTCCAAATCAACTCCACTTCAATTAACATCCAATTGTTACAAAAAAGGTCCAAAAGTAATAGAAAACTTAAACTATATAAACTACACTTGGTATGGTTGTTGAATCAAAACTAACACAATTAAGCTTATTATTACCACCGTACCCAAAAAAAACACATATCATGAATTTCAAAACTCCCGACGGAAGGAGTCATCCCGTGAGCCGCGACTATGCAATTCACCTCAAAGTCATCGCACTACCAAATTCCACTTCAAAGCTTTGGGTACCATATAATACGGGCCCAGCAAACTCCAATTCGAGCACAAGACATATGACATTTTCAAAAAAAAAAAAAAAAAAAGGCACATATAGCCAACCTCACATTAGGGTTGACAGTGAATCGAAGAAAAATGAGTATTCATCTAAATCTATTTTATTTGAATCGAGAATGAACTATACGGATTAGACGATGGACGTATATGAAGATACCCGTATAAGTCCGTATAGGGATGAAGGCGGAGATGAACTTACCCTTATCCTCGTCCCGCTCCCTACCCGTTAAATATGTATATATATAAATAAAAATACTTTCAAGCCCTAATTAAACATATTTACTGTAAACTATCAATCTAGAAATATGATAATCAAACTAACAAGGTGGCATTGCTATGTGGTAAGGTAATCTTATCAACTTTTTTCCCTGATTGTTCTTTTTTCTATTTGTACTCACTAATTAAAACCGTTAGGAGTTTGGATTGACCATGCTCTAAAAATTGATAAGAGAAAGTAAGATAATTTTGCATTTCATTGTGAGTAGAAAATATTATAAATGGAAGTTGATGAGTTTCTCTACTATAGTGAACTAAGAAATGGGGAGAATTATTGAATTAGTGAAATTTTAAGTTTTTATCTTTTAACACTTTATGACTGTAATATGAATTGTAATAAAAAAAAATTTCTAGGAAACTTTAAGTATAGTGTTATCATTTTCTTAGTTTAATTTTATTTTTCTTTTCTTCATTTATCTCTAATAGTTTCGTTTCTCTTTTTATGGTCCAATAACATTTTAAATAGAATACTATATTATTTTGGTTTTTATATTTTGCAATCTACATTATGTTGTGTTAAATTATTTAGAATATTGTTGGATTATTTAAAATATTAGATTTATTTAAAATTTTAAATTATGCTATTTGGACTTGAACTTAGGCTTGGGTTTGGGCTTAGGCGGGTACAGAGGAAGCGGGGACAGGGATGGGGATTAGAAATTCACCCGCAGATGGGGATAGAGATGAAAATTATACCCGTTAACGGGGGTGGACCGGGGATTGACGAAATTTTTTAAGCAGATACGGGAATAAAGAATACACTCCCAGCCCCCGCTTCAGTCCACTAACATCCTTACCTCACATACATATAATACCATTTTAATAGAATGAGCTATAAACTGAGACATTTTAAGTTTAAATTTGACAATCTCTTTGAGTCAACTAATGAGAAAATTATCCTTCATGATTATTTTAGTCTCAGCGTAGATAGTTTGTCTTTGACCAGATTAAAGAGGATATTAGTTGAGGTGAACGTAAATTGACCTAAACATTCATGACCATTAAAACAAAGAAAAAATTCATATAACACCATGAAAAGTAGCAAAAATTCCTATATCTATGTGTGCACAGTGTGTTTGTAATTTTTGTTCAATAAAATATAGTTATTCGTAATAAAACAATGTCGAAGTATTTCAACTTTAATATACCATAGAAATTAAACAAATTGTTTTGCACTTTCGTGTAGTACATGTTTTTTTTTTTGTCCTTTTCGAGAGAATACACCTATTTCATCAGGTTGTTCATCATTTACTTAATCCAACTGACTACAGTGTATGTATACTAGTAACTGGGGTCGTGTGATGTACGGAATTATAATTTGTTTTTTTTTTAATTTTTTGATTACTTGAGAAGTTAAATAAATAATTATATTTAAATTGATAATACACAAAATTATTTTCGCGCAAGATCAATAGTCAAGTATACGAACGGGTGCAAAAAGTGAGCAATAACAGACAATCAATGATAATTAATGATTAAAGCACTAAACAAGGAGAAACACACAGAGATTTATAGTGGTTCGCTCCGAATGACTTACTTTACTCTCAAGAATGACAAAAGTAGTCTGGATCTTTTATTAATGAGCGAAGTCACCAATATTATAGTGTTTTGGAGAGAGAGAGAGAGAGAGAGAGAGCAATCTGTGTAGGGATCTCAAGGTTATGAGAGTCTGCCCTCTATATGAAGAGGGCTTAAATTATATAGGTATGATAAGGCGGTGACGTGAGGAGGAAGACTTCTATTGTTTTAGTAAGTACAGCTATGGTAAGAGATTTTCGTGTCTATCCCAATGTTTTCTCCCTCGTGCTCCTATTTCTTCGGAGGAGGGTCTTAAACTGGATTGAGTTCATACTTGACTTTGGGCTTGGACTCAGTGTGATCTTGAACTTGCATTGGAGTGAAGTGAAAAGGGGAGAATGGGCAAGGCATGGATAGCGCCCACTTGAGGCCCTTGGGCGGCGCCCCCTTTGATGATGAGCTTGGTCTCTGTTTTGGACTCTCACTTATCTCCTTGGTCGATTCATCTGTTATTGGACTTTTCTTTAGACTTTCTCGACTTATTTTAACCGGACTTGGCCTAGTTAATTTTGGACTCATTATTTACCCCCCATGCCCCAAGTCTCTGACTTTTTGAGAGGAAAGGGTCGCGGACATATGTTTCGTCTTCATTAGAGAGTTGAAATCTTTCTCGGAATCCGCTGTATTGATCGGTATCGAATAGAATTATTTTTTTTATTTTTACTAACTCCCTTTCTTTTTTTTTTTTATCTTTTAGGCTGATTGGGCCCCACTTTTGTTGACTTTTCTCTTTTTTTTTTTTTTTTTTGGCCTTTTGGGTTGGACGTCGCCCCTCTCTACCTGTCTCTTTTTTTTTTTTTCTCTCTTCTCTGCTGCTGGGCGCCGCCCCTCTCTTCCTTTCCCTTTTTTTTTTTTTTGTCTTTTACCTAAGACCAGCCATGTCCACTTTGCCAAAAAAGAAGACACTAGTCATGTTCTGATGAAGTATGACTTAGCCATATGGGCTTGGACCGAATTAGGGATCCCGGATGACCTAAAACACACCTTTTCCCAAGCCCCTGACATATGGACGAAAACCAATGGAACCTCACACCTGACCTTTTCGCCCTGAGAAAGTTCGATTTACTGTACGTCAAATTTTATTATTTTATTTAGATGGGACTTAAAAAATCGTAAAACAAATACATATCAACTTTTAAATGAGTGAATCTTATTAAATTTTTAGTGAGATCTACTTATTTAATAGATAATATACATTTGGTTATAATTTTTAAATTTTATTTAAATTATTTAATATTTTTGTTTATAAGTAGACAATTAAATTTGATCATGCTCTTCGAACAGTCAACCTTGATTTCTCAGACGAGGCTCAAACAAGTTGATTAGATGGGGGAAGTGGAAGTGGAAGTGGAAACCAAACTGGCATCCTGCATATCCTACTTTACTCATGGAAGCAGGTTGTTCTACCGTTGGGAAGCAGGTTGTTCATTTTATTTAAAATTGTGTAAAAGGACGAAGGTCCACAGAAAGGAATCGGCAGTTGACTGATCTAGGCGAATATCTCTTTTGATCTTGTATGATTTTATTCTTCAAGATAGGCTGTACAATCATAAAATAATTAATTAATTGATTGTTTGATTTAGTCTCCAACAATATCTATTAATTAAATGCTTCTATGATTGCTTGATGTGCCAGTGTGACTTTACAAATATAAAATTTAATACAAATATGAGGTAATTAGTAGTAATTGTTTATATTTGAATGTATTATATTACTTGTAAAAAAAATTAGAAACATTTGCCCATGTATAAACGCAATGTATAACTACCATGCAACATAATTCATTAACCTAAAGAAATGATTGCATTGTAACTGTTGTATCGGCACCAAATTTTCAATGTTTAATAGGACTCGTAATCAATTCAATAGTCATTGTACTTTTTTTCTACAAAGT